TTATCAGGGAGGGGATTCTGCCCCTCTACTCTGCTCTGCTGAGACCTCACCTAGAGTACTGCATCCAGCTCTGGAGCCCTCAGCACAAGAAGGACATGGAAGTGTTGGAGCGGGTCCAGAGGAGGGCCACAAAAATGATCTGAGGGCTGGAGCACCTCTCCTATGAGGACAGGCTGAGAGAGTTGGGTTTGTTCAGCCTGGAGAAGAGAAGGCTGCGGGAAGACCTGATTGTGGCCTTTCAGTACCTAAAGGGGGCCTATAGGAAAGATGGAGACAATCTTTTTAGTAGGGCCAGCTGTGACAGGACAAGGGGTAATGTTTTTAAACTAAAGGAGGGTAGGTTTAGACTGGCTATAAGGAAGAAATTCTTTACAGTGAGGGTGGTGAAACACTGGAATGGGTTGCCCAGAGAGGTGGTGGAGGCCCCATCCCTGGAAACGTTCAAGACGAGGTTGGATGGGGCTCTGAGCAACCTGATCTGGTTGAAGGTGTCCCTGCTCACTGCAGGGGGATTGGACTAGATGACCTCTAGAGGTCCCTTCCAACCCAAAACATTCTATGATTCTGTGATTCTATTTCTCACACATGCACCACTGAATTCTCCCAGTTCAGGACGGCTATGGCTATTGGCTATTAATACGTCATTTGAAACAAAATTACAGATGTTTTTCCTCTGTCTGTACTCTCCATGGATTTATATGGTACCATAGCAGGGACATTTAGTTATCCATTGTTTTCAAAATATTATACATGGAAACCTTGTTCATATGAGAAGCAAACATTGGTGCCGTAGAAATCCTGTGCGTAAAAGGTACCTTTTGTCTCTAGAAGACCATTTGTTTCCAAGATTTCAGACAATAGACAAAAATCCCCCTGCAACAATGAATGAGAATTCTTTTCTCTTTCTTCATGAGGAAAAACAATCAAACTTAAATACTTCAGCTTCAGGTTTGTATTTTTTCTAAAACCCTACAGTGTCCATAAAAACTTAATTTCTTGTGCTGTTTGCAGTACACCTTTTGCATCAAGTGCAGCCTTCCGTATTTCAGTGACTGTAGGTATACTGATAATATTCATAAATATTTTTGCGTGGAAGTGTCAAGAAAATAACGTGGTGGTTAGGAAGTTCTAATGGTGCTCTCTAGCAAAACAACAGAGGAGAGTTCATTGATCACTCCTAAGACATAGCATTTGAAGGGCTTTTCCTTGTAGCTCTGCTGAAATAATTTGGTCTGTTGTTCAAATAAAACATCAGGATGTTGTTTCACCACAGAGACCCCAACAACAACATTGGACATACCTGATAGGTCTCTTGCGCAGAACTGCTCTTGAGAGCAGTGTCCTCTTTCAGAAGAGAACATCAGAACATAACTACCCTGCCTTTAAAAACTAGGCTTTTCTCATTTGTTCCCTTCCAAGATCCCATTTGTTTTATTGTAATCTTTTGTGTATGACTATGCACAGAAGTATTTTGACTTTTTACACTTCCTGTAGATAAATTTCCACCTTAGGTTATCTATCTGTATTGGGGCAATACAAGAAGAAAAGTGTGTTATCTTCCAGGTATGCGTCTCGCATAATACAGACTGTCAGTTTAACCTGGTGGCAGTTGACACTGCAATAGGAAAACTGCACTCATTTGACAACTGTTTTCTCAGTGGTAGCAACTACCAAAGGTGGAAAAAAATCCTGATATAGAAAACCAAATTAGCTCTTACTACAAAACACCATCAAAATGTATTTTAATAACCCAGTATTCCAGAATTCAACATTCAAAGAAGTACACCTAAGAAAGTTGACAACTGTTACTTTTGCTGCAAGTTGGTGCAGCAGCAGGGTCTTATTGCAGTCACATTCCGTATTTATTCTAAATTACATTTTGAAAACCAAATGTATTAATGCCTCTTGAAGGTTCAAACAATAAATCTTATTGTCGTATTTATCTTAAGTTATAGAACCAGTCACTAAAAAAATTGCCTTGAAGTTTCAGTATATTCTCTTTTTGGATGAGTCTTAATGCCACAGAGGTGTTTATAAAGACAGATAGAATAATTTGGAGCAAAAAAGGTAATGTTCTTCTTTGCATTCAGTCAACTGTACATTTTTACTATTGCTCCCATTTAAGCTAATTTGGTATGGTCATTTGTCGAGTTAATCAGTTGCCAGTGTGGAGTGCACAGCCTACAAGCGCTCATAACTTAACAGGGAGCGTATAACCAAAGAGCTAATAGAATTCAACTTTACAAACCTACTGCTTTCAGTTTTATGCAATTTTTAATTCAAAAGGGGTTAGGTAGAAAATTCATTAATTGTGAAGCTGAATGCATGTGTATTAGATATAGAAGTGATAGTAATACTTATAATAATGAGTGATGATAACACTTGAAAAAATGAAGACTTACAGTGTAAAATCTAAATACATGTAGCTAATTTTTTTGTTTTGCAGCACCTACTGGGAATAAAGAAATAATTTCCCATATCAGTCAGCATGGAGGCAAATGGCCATACTGGTTTAAAAAAATGGGTAAGTTTACATATGCAGTATTTTCAGTTTATTTATAATTTTACTTCTTTTGCTTTCTAATTGTATTTGTATTTCTTTTTAGAAAACCTTCAGAAACTTGGGAACTACACCTTGAAACTGCAAGTAGTATTGAATGAAAGTAATGCAGACACTTACGCAGGAAGGCCTCTACCATCTAAAATATTTAAATTTACTATTATAGGTAAGAATTCCAGTCATGCCAATTTCCTTCTACTTCTAATGTTTCTGTTTGGTTCATTGTGTATCAAAATTATTCATGTTTTAGTTGAGAGATAATTTTCAGCACTGAAAAGCACCATTTGCATGTCAAATATGAAGTGTTTTCAGGAAAAAATAATTTCTTGTCTAATAGATTTTGATCTCACCTGTAAAGCGTTGGCTCAGTCAGTTTTACAAAACAGTATGAAGTGTTGATGGAATCAAAAGCTTTTCCCTGATGTGAACTTTGCTAAATGTACTTTAAAAAATGAACTTTTACTTCATTAGAATCACCCTTCTTCCTCATGCCATTGGCATAAATATTCTTTCATAAAACTAGTATTCATTAGGCCGACTTTCATGCATAAACCACAAAGAGAAACTCATTCAGAAATAGGTTATGAATGTTGAGATTGAAGTTGGTTTTCTTTTAATTAAAAGAAGAATCCTATGCAAAACTAAATTATCATTAAGTTATAATGGGTGTGTATCTTTGCATTAGCCATCATAAAATAGTGGAATACCAGAATAGAAATAATACTATTAAATATGTCTGTTGTTACTCTATGTTGCCATACACTTTGGTGTGCATGTATGTGGCCTAAAATAGTATGCGATTGCTTATATCTTCCCAACAAAATTCATAGGTTATCATTTTGATGACACTGTTGAAGACCCTAAGATACACAATGTACAGTTACATAAAGTTTCTGCTACAGCCTTGCCAGTCCTGTTTCTCTCATCCGTAAAACATTAATTTTATTTCCTAATTTATTTCTGGGCATTTATCTGTTAATGGCTGGTTAGTTTTTGTTTATAGCTACCCAAGAAAGGCTTGTAAACTCTTCAGAAGGGCTAGGCAAGGAAGGAGAGGCAGTGGGCTAGCCCTGTATGTTAAGGCATGTTTTGACTGTCTAGAGCTTGATGATGGTAATGATAGGGTTGAGTGTTCATGGGTAAGAATCGGGGGAAGGCCAACAAGGCAGATATCCTGTTGGGAGCCTGTTATAGACCACCCAACCAGGATGAAGAGGCAGATGGAATATGGTATAATCAGCTGGGAGAAGTCTCACAATTGCTAGCCCTTGTTCTTGTGGGGGTCTTCAACTTACCAGATGTCTGCTGGAAATACAATGCAGCAGAGAGGAAACAGTCTAGGAGGTTCCTGGAGTGGGTGGAAGATAACTTCCTGACAGAGCTGGTGAGTGAGCCAGTGAGGGAAGGCGCCCTGCTGGAAGTGTTCCTTGTGAACAGAGAAGGACTTGTGGGTGATGTGATGGTTGGAGGCCATCTTGGACACAGCAATCACAAAATGGTAGTTCTTGATTCTTGGTGAAGTAAGGAAGGGGGTCAGCAGAACTGCTACAATGGACTTCTGGAGGGCAGACTTTTCACAGACCTGTTCAGGACACTGGTTGACAGAGTCCCTGAGGAGGCAGTCCTGAAGGGCAAAGGAGTCCAGGAAGGCTGGACATTTTTCAAGAAGGAAATCTTAAAGGCGCCGGAGCAGGTTGTCCCTGTGTGCCAAAAGATGAGCCACTGAGGAAGAATACCAGCCTGACTGAACAGAGCCCTTTGGCTGGAACTCAGGAAAAAAAGGAGAGTTTATGACCTTTGGAATAAGGGGCAGGCAACTCAGGAGGACTACAAGGATGTCGTGAGGTTATGCAGGGAGAAAATTAGAAGGACCAAAACCTAGCTAGAAGTTAATGCGGCTATTACCATAAAAGACAGTAAAAAATGTTTCTGTAAACATACATTAGGAACCAAAGGAGGTCCAAGGAGAATCTCCATCCTTTATTGGATGTGGGGAGAAACATAGTGGCAAAGGATGAGGAAAAGGCTGAGGTACTTAATGCCTTCTTTGCTTCAGTCTTTAATAGTCAGAGCAATTGTTCTCAGGGTACCAACGCCCTGAGCTGGAAGACAGGGACAGGAAGCAGAATGAAGACCCCATATTCCAAGGGGAAATGGTTAGCGACCTGCTACACCACTTAGGCACACTCAAGTCTATAGGGCCAGATGGGATCCATCCAAGGGTCCTGAGGTAGCTGGCAGAAGTGCTCACCAAGCCATTTTCAATCATTTATCAGCATTCCTGGCTATCCAGGGAGGTCCCAGCTGACTGGTGGTTAGCAAATGTGACGCCCATCTAAAAGAACGGCCAGAAGGAGCATCTGGGGAACTCTAGGCCTGCCAGTCTGACCTCAGTGGCAGAGAAGATTATGGAGCAGATCATCTTGAGTGACATCACATGGCACATACAGGATAACCAGGTAATCAGGCTCAGTCCGCATGGGTTTATGAGAGGCAGGTCCTGCTTGACTACACCTGGTCTCCTTCTATGACAAGGTGGCCTGCTTAGTGGATGAGGGAAAGGCTGCGGATGTTGTCTACCTGGACTTTAGTAAAGCCTTTGACACCATTTCCCACAGCATTCTCCTGGAGAAATGGGCTGCTTATGGCTTAGATGGGTGTACTCTTTGCTGGATAAAAAACTGGATGGCCAGGCCCAAAGAATGAATGGAGTGAAATCCAGTTGGAGGCCAGTCACAAGTGGTGTTCCCCAGGGCTCAGTATTGGGTCCAGTTCTGTTTAATATCTTTATCAGTCATCTGGATGATGGGGCAGAGTGTACTTTCAGCAAGTTTGCTGACACAAAACTAGGAAGAGTGGCTGATACACCAGAGAGTCATGCTGCCACCCAGAGGGACCTCAACAGGGTGGAGAAATGGGCTGACAGGAAACTCATACAGTTCAACAAGGGGAAGTGCAAAGTCCTGCACCTGGGGAAGAACAACCCCATGCACCAGTAGAGGCTGGCGCCTGGCTGACTAGAAGGCAGCTTTGTTGAAAAGGCCCTGGGGGTCCTGGTGGACAACAGGGTGAACATGAGCCAGCAGTGTGCCCTTTCTGCAAAGAAGAGCAACAGCATCTTGGGCTGCTTTAGGGGGAATGTTGCCTGCAGGTTGAGGGAGGTGATCCTTGCCTTCTAATTCAGCATTGGTGAGGCCACAGATGGAGTACTGTGTCCACTTCGGGGCACATTACATTAAAACACAGAGACATGGACATACTGGAGAGAGTCCAGCAAAGGACCATGAAGATGATGAAGGGACTGGAGCATCTCTCATATGAAGAAAGGCTGGGAGAGCTGAGGCTGCTCCACCCAAAGAAGAGGAAATTCATTGGGACCTTATCAATGTCTATAAATACCTGAAGGGAGAGTGTAAAGAAGATGGATCCGGGCTCTTTTCAGTGGTGCCCAGTGACGGGACCAGAGGCATGGGCACACACTAAAACGCAGGAAGTTTCCTACAAACATCAGGAAACACTTTTTCATTGTAAGGGTGACTGAGCACTGGCACAAGTTGCCTGAGCACTGGCACAGGTTGCCCAAGAGGTTGTGGAGTCTCCATTCTTGGGGATATTCAAAAGTTGTCTGGGCATGGTCCTGGGCAACTGGCTCAAGGTGGCCCTGATTGAGCCAGGGGCATTAGATAAGATGACCTCCAGGGAACCCTTCAACCATTCTGTGAGCTTTATTTACAAGGTCAGTGGGGAGGGGAGAAGTAAAAAAAATACTACTTCCTTTGCATTTACTATTAAAATGGATATTTTCCTCACAAGTTCAGGAGCTAGAGCTAACATCTGTTTCCAGAAGATCAAGAAAAAATGGATGCTTTCAGTAGCCACAAAACTAGAGGCTTTGAACACAAATCCTTTAGGCAGAAAAGAGTTCTTTGTAGCATATTCTTCTAAAAGCTTCTGCAAAAGTATTATTGGCAGAATAGAAAGAGCTATTTCTATATGATAATACAGAAAAAATGTTTGGCGTTACTTGAAAAGAGTAATTATTTAAACATATGTCTGAAAACCTGGCATTGAAGTCTCAAGATACTTCTATGAAGTTTCAAGAAAAAAAAAAATCTCTTTATTCTTACATAAATTAACCTTGTCTGCTCCTTCTTTATCTCGTTATCAAAGCAAAAACAGAACCTTAAAAGTTGCATTCTGTATTTTAAAAATTCTTTTTCAATAGTATTGGGGCTTTCCCCAGCATGGCAGCATTCAGTCAAAGTTTCCTTTGGCCATAACAATTGAAATTAATAACTCTTGTCTGGAAGGAATTCTAAACACTCTAAAAATCTAATGAACTAATAGTTTGGTACTTTTAACACAAGGGGTACTAAAAGCAACTTTTGCTATTGCTGCTTTTTTATCTTGTCAGAAGATAATTTGACATTTTTAATATTTTCAGTCTTGAAAAGTGAGTATTTCAGGTCTTTATTTTAGCAATGTTGTGTGTTGTCTCAGAGGCAGCCATAAATCCTCACCGTTCTTATTCTGAAATAGTAACATTTGTGTGACCTTTTATGTATATAGATTCCAAAAATCCAGAAAAGAACAATTAAAACCTGAACTGAAATCAAAAGCTTTTTTGTCTGAGAAACAAATTATTTTATTCCTCCAACAGCAGGCTGTTGCTCAGTATTTACAGCTCTTCTTGGTAAGCTAAAAAATAGTCATAAATGCTGGTTAAAACTGAACTTCCTAAGTCAATCTATCAGTTCTGTGGGTTTAGTTCAGACATGTTCTTTTGGTAGTTATTCACTTTGACAGTGCAGAAATTCTTTTACTGTTATTTTGTCAAATCATTTCACAGTTTTATCATTCACTTGTAAATAAAATTGTAAACACTGTAAGGCTGTGATCTTGTTATTGTAAATTATAAATAATTTTGGCCAATACAAGGTAACATTTCCCCCCCACCCCTCCATGATTTTCATATCTCTTGTGCAAAAGAAGCTCCCTGATAATCACACCTGTAGCTAGTGAAAGTAGTTGTTAAATTGAGTCCAGAATAATTTGATAGGATATTTATCTATCATTTAGCTCAGCACTGTATTGCTTCTTTTTTCAAAGGCCGCTTGGCCAAGACAGTTTGATTCCACAAAACATTACTCTGATTTACAAGCTCCCATTTGTACCGATCTGTTTGGTCTCCTTTTTAGTACCTAATTGGAGGCAGTCTAACAGGGCCAGATTTCACAGGAAGGATGCACTCATGCTTCTTTTTCAAATACTCATCATTAGTCAACTTTATCTCTCAAATTTGGGATAGTTGTAGAACAAAAATGTTTTGTTGCATGAATTATTTTATTTTAACAGAATTTAAGCAATTAAATGTTTAAGAAAAGCTGTCCACAAGGAACTTGTCCACTTTCAGGTGCTGTAATTGATGTCCTAAGTCCTTCGGAAGTTTTGGCTGTCCTGTTATGTTTCTTATACTGTAGTCTATTGCTACTATGTTTTAACTATACTTTTTGTTAGTGTAAGTTAAAAAAAGAGGATCAATCAATAAACCATGATTTTGGTTACAACAGTATTCTGAACAGCCTATTTACTTTGAGGCTGAAAACCACTTGACTTAATTGCAGCCTTAGTTAAGAAAAAGCCAATGGACACATAATTCCTTCTAAAAATGTATTATTTTTTCTCTTAGAGGGCAAACCAGAGAAATTTTCAGTGGGTCTTTTGGAGCTTCCTTTTCGAGTTGGAGTACCTTTTAATATTCCTTTGGAATTGCAGGATGAATTTGGTCATGCAACACAGTTGACAACTGACATTAAACCAATTCTTGAAGCTAGGTAATTCAACCATTTCTCTCTTTTTTTTTTTTTTTTTTTTTTTTATTTTTTTTTTTTTTTTTTTGTCCTTTCTTCATGTGACATTAATATAGTAATTCTTTGGGGTTTGTCCAAGTGCTATACTGGATACTTTTCACATAGATTAAACGGCATTTTTGTTTTTATTTCCATAAGAATATCTGAAAGTGTCTTGTATATTAAAACACTGTATTTATTTTTAATTTGATTCTGTTTTGGTTTCTATGTATTTTTCTAGTGGATTGACATTGCAGCATGAAGAAATAACTACAGGAACAAAGTGCATCATTAAAGGTGTCACTGCTAAAGGCTGTATAAATAGTTGCCAGGGCAAGGTAGGCTAATTTAAACTTGAAGTAACATATTTTTTAAAAAGCAAATTTTTGTGTAAAATGGATTGTCACATAGTGTTATCTAAGTTTGGTCTACGCTAATGACTACAGGTATTTCTTGGGATATTTTCAAATGATCTCTTACAGCTCTACCTGGAGCGATTTGTCTTTCCCACAGCTGCATTCTGTTAGCTGATGGGACTGGAGGTGGAGGGCCTGAGCAACACATTGGTGTGTGGTATAGTTTACCCAGCATGCTAAATCAGCTGTCTTGATTTAAACTGGTGCTGAAATTGGTTTAAGTCAAATCATCCTGGTGAAATAACATAGGGAGCACTGAAATCTTTCATTCTTGTAGTTGAGACAGTGAGTAGTAATAGTTAATATGAGCGGTAACTACTTGCACTTTTCTAGACGTTTCCAAAATGCTGTTTTCACTTCTGTAGCAAGTATATGCCATCCAAATTCAACCTGTTCTGATGGATTCTCAGCACCTAGTCAAGCTGCTAATTTACAGTAAAAACAAAAACATGTTACATGCTAAAAGGATTTCTTTCATAAAACAGATCTTAATGCTTATGATAAATATAGATGTGAAGATTTTAAAAAACAATTTTCAAAACACATATGTGGCATATTTACACGGTATTCTCACCAGGTCCTAATCCTTTCATTTAGTCTTGCAGTCTAGCATAGTAAAGGCAGAGTTAGGAACGGAGGTAGCTGAAGATACCTCATTATACTGTTGCTATTGTTGCTTAGAAAAAAGCAAATAATGTTGCTGGCTGAAAGGTGCATAAAGGGCATAAGCCGGGATTATGAAAACTAAACCTTTCCAGAGACACAGTTTCTGAATGTGTAAAAATGACAGCTCATGAATTGCAACTAAATATTTTCAAATATCAAATATATGAAATATGAAATTGCAGTATTTGCAGTGCAACTAGTTTTTTTGAAGATGGAGCTTTTAAGATTGATTAGACTGCTACATTTTGATTTTAATGTGAAAATCAGTTTTAGTGATGCAGTTCTAGAGCAGTTGTGTTTCTTATTCGAAGATGAGATGGATAGTAATTGTGGTGGCTTGCTTCAGGCAATTAGCTAAGGAATAATGCACACAGAACTTGCAGACCCTTTCTTTTAAAACTACTTTTTTTTTTTTTTTTTTCCCTGACTAAAACAGCCTGTAAGCAGGAAACCACAAGTTATGATAGCTGCTTTTAATGGTTTCAGAACCTTGTAGCTTAACATGCAAATTGAACATCTCTGGGAATAAGAACATGAAAAAGACAGATTCTTGTGTAGGAAAATAATCTTGATTTATGTAGCATTGCAAGAAAATTTGGATGGACTTCTGAAATTTACATATGTATGCATTGACATGCCTGTGAGATAATTTATGATCTGGTTTTGTTTAAGGTTAATATTTAAATTATTCTTTTCATTAGAACTTTAATCTGAAGGTTACTCTTCCTGGTTTGAAAGAAGACACACAAATCGTTAAAATAAGATTGCAGCCTGGTAAGTATCCTTAAAATGTTTAGTGTCAGAATAAAGTTCAACAGAAATTCACTATTAATGAAATGCTTCTTCTCCCAAGAAGGTAAAATATTTAGTGAGGCATAAAAAAGGATATTCTAGCTCATCCAAGTGGTTACTGAAATTAAAGCTAAGGGCATGTCGTTCTTGGCAGGAATAATGTCAAACTTACAGCCCAGTCTTCTCTAATATTCTAGCAGCTGGAATTTGCCTGCATACTTTAGAATTGTTTTTTCACTTTTAAAAATTATTTTAAATCTTTTTCTAACCTAGCACCATTGAATGAATTACTTTCTTCTCAGTTTTCTTCAGCATTAAGCCCTTTAACCTGTACTAATCTGCATTGACCTGTTCTCCCTGTAGAAAACATCTTGTGAGTGAAAAAGTGCTCACAGTTCAGTTTCCTACCTCAACAAAGGGGGAGATGCTTTGGCAGCTGGGATTGTGTCTGAAATTTTTAGTGTTACATGTTGACTTTATCATAATGCAAGAGGGGAATATGGAAGTCTTTAAGTCCACTGCCCTTACCAGAATTTTATGTTTTGTGGATGTCTTGATACTGAGGACTCCCTTAATATGACACCTGTTATCACTTGTTATCTGGGTTTTTCTGTATTTGGGATATAAGGTATAGTTTGAAGGCTTATTTTTGACCTCTCAGATTACCAAACCTTAGGCTTTCCTATCTCATTTTGCTGAGAAATTGTGTTCTTCAAGCTTTGTTAGACCAAAAATGCAGTTTATTCCATCATTCTTCATCTTTTGAGGAGTTAAGGCTTCATGTAGAAAATGGAGTGGAACGAGACTGTGTATTGCTTAGTTATTTACCTTGGACTGAAGGCAACGTCATCCTTCATTAGAATCTTGCTTTTGGCAATGTAGAGATACTTCACTACCTCTTTCTTCTCATTGGACTTATCCTTGGCTGTTTTTTGAGGAACGAGTGAATAAAAGCTATTTCAGTCTTTCCTGTTCTTTAACCAGTGAGTTTGAAATAAAGTTTTAATGAATGATGCATAAAGGATGTTTCTGAAAAATGGCCTTTGTTCCTTCAGAACTTTTCTTCTCATAGTAATCTATTACTTCCTTCTCTTTTTTTAAAACTGATAAAATACCTGTATGTTCCAGGGGGTAGTCTTGCTTGAATAGCTTCACTTTACTATCCAAGTAATGCCAACAAAATTTTCTTTTTCTTTTCTTTGCATACAAGTTGTAGCTGTGGTGGCTTTGGTAATTAAAATGCTACACATCATGACTGATGAGATATCTCAAGATTAATATCTTTGGTTTTAACATGTCAGGAGAAAGCTCCAAGTGTCTTTTTGATGAATGTGAATCCATATAGTATGTAAATAGCACTATATTATGTGTTTATACTTTGTATGTGCTGAAGTTCATCATGTTTGTCTAACTATTCCTTACTGAATTCGTTCAGAAGATTGTCAGGTGGTATGTATTGAAGGACATGAAGCATCTAGAACTTCTTGATATAAACCAATACACTTGAATTGTTCTAAATGATTTGTTATCACAAATATCTTGGTAGTTTGGCTTTAAAAACCTTTTGAGATAACAAAACCTAAAATCCAGTGTCTCACAAGTTATCTAAAATATAACCACTGTTCTGCAATTGTGCATTTTTACAGGCCCTCCTTGTCAATTGAAAGTAAAACCAGATTCTGAAATTCTAAAGATTGAAAATGGTACAGCTTTCCCCTTTCAGGTTGAAGTACTGGATGAATCGGGAAATATAACAGCACAGCCAAAGTTGATAGTTCATTGTAAGGTAAACTGCATTTTATTATGTGTCATAAGGTTTTTGGTACTTCCTTTTTAAATGGTTGGGAAAAGAGCCTATTTTGGCATAGGCATAGGATTTGTTATCTTTAATAATGCTTTTGGAATTTCTGTAGCTTGGTAGCCATAACTGTGACTCTCTTGCCTCATCTATTATGAGTTATTTGGTAAGTTGCAGAATCAGAGGAACCCAGCCTTAGAAATGGAAGAGAAAATTATGTGAGGATATATAGCTACAACTTTAAGGTATTTTAGGTCGTATTTGCCATATGCAATGCTAAACTTTGTTCAGGAAGAAAACTTCATACAGCTTTTGATTTTTTTTGAAGATGAAAATGCAAGCCTAAAAATAATATTAGATAAGATTATTATCATAAGCACCTATCTAAGTTCAGAATGGAATGCAGGATAAGTGAAAAACTTTCCCGTTGGGACCTAGTTGTTGGGTTTTTTTAACTCAAGGGAGTGACTTTCCCAATTCTAGTGAAATCAGTCTTCCAGCAAGAACAGGCAAACAAAAAAAAAATGTTTTTGCTGCTGCAAAATAGTCTGCATTCCATTTACACTTTATATGCATACATTGTCTTCCTGTAGACTGGGTCTGCAGTAGTATGATGACATGTTGAACTTTATATTTAAATTCTGTTTAATGTTTGATTTTTTTTTTTTTAATTAATGAAAAGGGGGCTTACTTAATTGAATTTATTGTCATAATGGCAAAAGAGACTAATGTTTATGTGTTAATACAAAACAGTTGAATAGATAGTAAATTTTACTTCTATAACTTCTTCTTTTTTCCCCACATCACTTGTGAAAAAATTTAGGTATTGATCTTGCAGGCTTCTGGAAAACTAAAATCTATCAAATTTATCTGTAAATAATCATATATATTTGGACTTGTACTGTAAAAGAAACCTGAAGTTTAATTTTGCATTTTAAATAGTTTTTAGGTGCTTCAAACCTTCCTGTGTATTCTGTGGACTGTAGTAATGGAGGAACAAACATTTTAACTGGTCCAGTTATACATGTACAGAATATCAAGAAAGACCAAATGCTGAAAGCAAGGATTGAAATACTTGTAAGTATTTACTGGGATGTTTGGAGGAACAAAAAATTGAAAACAGTTTATTGTACTGTCTTGCTAGTGTATTGAAGTCTTGTGTGAATCAACTTACCCCCAGAAGTTACTGGTTTAGTTACCATAAGCTTGATAATCAGATGGCTGCCCTTTTTCCTCTCTGGGAAATCATAAAAAGGCAAGTAATTTTTTCAGGTTTTTTTATTCACTTCTTACTCTTTTATTTCCAAAATCCCTGAAGTGTTTCAGAAATATGCATTATTTCTGGGATTTTTCTCTCCCTTTTTACTCCCTGGATCCTTCTGACAAATTGCCTTCATTGCATAAACATTTAGAGCCAGAATAGGTATGGCAACATGTTACCCAAAACTTAAGTAAAGGATATATTTTTTCAAAGGTTAAAAATCGGTAGTTTTTTGTAGCATTTCAGTCTTAAAGCTCTTGAAGTTTGAATTTTTTAAATGCTGTTGAACATCCCAGTTTTCTGGTAGCCAGGCGAGCCACGCTATTGGAGAACATAAGACCTGTGGTGTTTGACTCTGAAAAATGTGTAAGCAAATAGTAATATGGCAAGATGAACTATATGAGAGGATACTTACAATTACTCTTAAGAAATATTTTGTAAATTGTATAACATAGTACTTCTGGGATAGAAAACCTTTTCTAAATAGCTAGCATCAATTCTAGTATCTGTTAGAAGTTGTAAGTATTCTAGCATATCCTTCTGATTTACTTTTGACAAATCAAGCTGTGTTTGGACACCTGGTCATACCTGGTAAATCCATAGGCTATTATGGAGTGATATTTATGTATGTATGTATATTCAATATCTTAATTATATATCCTTTTTTTTCCCCGTGTATAGAGTTGTAAAGATGTGCCACCAGTGGAAAAGGTTATTAAACTTCTTCCTAGCAGTCACGTTGCAAGACTACAGGTCTTGAGTATGGATGGACAAAAAGCTATTCAAATTAAACATCAGGATGAAATAAATTGGGTTGCTGGCGATATCATGCACAACCTCATATTTCAGATGTATGATGAAGGAGAAAGGGAGATACACATAACTCCAGCTGTGGCAGAAAAAATCAAGGCAAGTACTTTTGAGTAAACAGCAGCATAAGGGAGGAGAGATACAAAGCTGATTCTCTAAAATCCATAGACATCAGACTATGAAATAATGTTCCTCAAGATTGTATTATTAAACATGGGAATTTCACTCTCTGCTTAATAAATTTTTAAAAATCATTTTATTAAACTTGTGTCCTTAGTGAGATAAAGACATTTAATGAAATGTTAAATAATGCTTCAGGGTAGTATTCTGAAAAACAGGTTACTGATTTCCAGTGCTTCTCCTAAACACAGTAAAATAATTCTGATATGGTTATGATTCTTTAGATCTGGGGTTTTCCCAACATTTAGGAACCTTGAATAGGCATGTTCCTTCATGAAGACTTCCTTACTTATCCCCTCTGTCTGTGTACATATGTGGAGCCTAATGCAAAAGTAAAGCCTCACCAAATATGTGACAATTTTTTGATGAGGTTTTTCAGGATTCAATCTTTTCTAATTCAAGATAAGTGAGGGAAACTTAGTGTATGTTTTGTTTTGTTTGGGGTTTTTTTCAGAGTGATTTTCTGTATTTGGGAAGACAGCATTGGTTACTGTTGGGAAATGCACAGGCTTTCCCTTGAAAGCTTCTATTGCCTGTATGCAACTTCAGCATATTTAGAATGATCAGAGATGTATTATGTAGCTAGTCATTAACAATTGAACTTTTGATTAATTTAAGAAATTTTAATTTTAGGTTAACTGGACACCTAGAATTAACAGAGAACAGTTAATTCAGGGATTATTACCTGATGTAAAGGTACCAACATCAGTAAAAGATGTACGTTACTGTCTAATTACTTACCTTGATGACCATGTGTCTTTGGAGAGTGCATTCACAGTCAGGTTTGTCCATTTGAAATACTTTTTTATGAATTACGTTGTTGGCAAAGGATTGTAGATCTGGACTTCAGGGTAAAAAAAAAAATCTTTCTACAGAAGCTGAAACAATGTTGAAACAGTTGGCAAATTAACAGGGGAATGTAGGGGGAGGTGTTTATGCAAATTGTTTGCAGATGAGAACATTACCTATGTAAAGGACTCCATCACAATCTGTTTGTATCCAGCCCTATAATCGCTTTTGTAAGTATACATACGCTGAAGATTATTATTGCTATCTTTGAAAACTTTTACTAAACGTTAGCTTGTAGAATTACTAGTTTTACTGAAGAGTCAGGTCACTGGTTACCAAAGATAAATATGACTACGAAGTTCATTGCTGCACTTACAGAGGTTATTACTTTAAAGCTGAAGATAGTATTTATCTAGCCAAATGCTGGATGCCTGCATCTGGTATTTCAGTCAAAAGTGACAGGCTGTAAACTGAACTTCTAAACTGCCTGTTTATCATTCTTAGTAAGTCAAGGCAGTTAGCGCTACTTATTGTATCTTTATAATAAAGTTTGTTAAGATGATCCTGATTCTAAATGACTTGAGTATATTACATGTGTTCTTAATAGGTTGTGCTGTGAAGTAATTAATTTCACTGATGCCAAGGGTAAATTTGCAGCAATTAGACTTTGCACAGATCTGCAGTAGAAAAAAAAAAAATTGCATGACCAAGCATTAAGATTCTTTAAAACATTGGGAGCATAATGCTTGTAAAAACCTGTCCATGACACAGCACTGTCAGAAACAGAAAAAATTCAGTTTAGTATTTTATTTTAAGAAGAACAGAAATGCTGATTGAATTTATATCTCTCTTCTTGAAAGGAAATATAACAGTAAATTGATTTATTGACTATTTTTAATACATTTTTGCTTGTCATTGAAAAGCAGTCTCAGACCAGGGAAATTCTATTTAGGGGTTTTTCTATTGTAATTGTTGTAAGAATTAACTGGAGGTCATTTTAATGGGATTTTTAAAGATCTCAAGGTAATTTTTAGCTTAGAACACACAAAAGGAGTAAAAAACATTGTGTTGGAGAACTCTTTAAGTCTTAAATAACTTACAGATGTCAGATAACTCTTAAGTATTTGGGGAGCCAGCACATAACATCTGTTAACTTTCATCAAGTAAACGGAAAGAAAGGCTGAGATTGTTTAAAAGCACCCCAGAAAGTATTTTTAAGAGACCAGTGTTAGGCATAGTTTAGGCTGATGAATTCTGCTCTATCATAGCAAAAGAGCAAATGGAAATCTGATTTTTTTTCTTTTATGGTTGTTCATCTTCTCCATAACTTCTGTAGTGTGCTCTGGTTTTGTTTTGCGTTTAAGAAAAAAATGTATCTCAGAAAACTTTAAGCAGTGTTAGTTGTAATCAGGTTCTCAAAAAGCCAGCAAATATTTTCCTAGCAAGGGAGATTGTGATACCTCTATATGTACATACCAGGATTAATGTTGATATTGTAATTGGTTTTGCAGTAATAGATGTATTTTAATATGTAGACAGTTGTATGTCACTTTGGCTTAGAGGTGTTTGGGATGTTTTGGAGTATTTTTTCAAGATTTAAAATACTCCAAACTTGAATTCTGCTTTATCTGGCTAATGATCTGATCTATGGTAAAATACTGTTAGGCAAGTTATTACAGATAGGGCAAAATACCATCACATTGCTGCAATTTGTTATGTAAGTAGTGTCTGATAAGCTCCCTCTGATAAGATTGAGGTGAAAGCTACTATGTAACTTATGTGCATGTGAGGCTTGATCTTCTAAATATGTGCAAGGATAAAATACTAATAAAAACAAAATCCAGTCACAAGTGAGTGATAACTGCTGTATGCTTTAGCATGCCTGCTATTGTTAAGTGATTACCTTCATGAGAATAAATCAATTTTCATATGCTGACTTAGACCGCTTCCTGATGAACCCAAACACATTAAATGTAAATTAAAAGGACCAAATACACTGCAGATGGGTGAAGAACTACAAGGTGAAATTGGTAAGTATTTGCATATTCTTCAATTGTCTTGTAGGATACATTTCTTTTTCTTTGCAGTTTATTAGCCTGTTATACAGATGTCATCAAGAGTGAGTTATCTTCAACTTTTAATTTAAAAAATAAATTACATTCTCATTCATGGAAGGATTATTAGACTTCTCTAATTGCCATTTTACAATTCTGGAGTTACTCTCTGCTAAAATTTGCCTCTGATTGTATGTTGGGACATTAATCACACTGAGTTCAAGTTGTTGGTAAATTTTTGTTTAGTTCATGTATTCTAAAATCTTACAGGCCGTAACAGCATTCAGACTATTTCAAAGGCATGGACTTCAAAGTGAAACATTTTAACGTTAACTTCAACCTGAGAGGAAGGCATGTTAGCGATCAGTCTTCTCATTCTTCTTTGGTTTCTGTACACAGTTGCTACATAGCATAGTAAGAAAAAATTCTAACAGTATTTTGGGACATTAAAAGCTTGAGTGTGAGCGAAGAAAAGCGTAAACTAACAGGTTGCAATTTTAAGATTTTTTTTTTTTTTAACTTCATAGCAAGAAATTAATCTTTATTGAAAAAAGTGGGAAGCACAAATGGGTGATCATGGTATATAGATACATTTTTATTTTTTTTTTATACCCTTTTGATACGCACAAGATGGGAGGGATCTTATCAATGTATATGAATACCTGAAGAGAGGGTATAAAGATGGAGCCAGGCTCTTCCCAGTGGTGTTCAGTGACAGGACAAGAGGCAATGAGCACCAACTGAAATCCAGGAGGTTCCCTCTGAACATCAGGAAACACTTTTTTACTGTGAGGGTGACTGAGCACTGGCACAGGTTGCTCAGAGAGATTGGAGAGTCTCCATCCTTGGAGATACTCAAAAGCCATCTAGACATGGGCTTGGCAACCGGCTCTGAGTGGCCCTGCTTGAGCAGGGGGGTTGAACCAGGTGACCTCCAGAGGTCCATTCCACCGGATTGGCCACTCTGTGATTCAGTGATGCTCATGTAATTTCTCTATATTGTCTGTTTGTTGTATACATTTATATTCTGTATGTTGTATAATGTTCCATTAAAACAGCTGCTGACGTGATCATCTTAATAATCGTTTTAATTGTCATCATCTTTTTTAACAGATGTAATGATTACAGATCAGTATGGAAATCAGGTTCAGACAGTGACATCTGCGTGTATAAATTCCCTAGGAGTTTCTGGGCCTGGACTTGATAAATCAAATTTGAAAATAACTTGGCAGGTATTTGTAAGATGTCGTATAGTTTATTTCTCTGTGGCCTTTGTGTGGTAATTGTCTTAATTCTGTCACACAGAATTGAACCAAAACTGTGGAAAGGTAGTCAAATTAAACACTAGTTGGTAAGCTGTGAGAAGATAGAGACTTAAAGCATTAAAATCTTATGATCCTGTTCTAAGGAATACAGCAGCATCTGTTAAAAACCTTATCACTGCTGCAGCTGTACAATATGGGGCCCAGTTCACTCCGTGCTTGAGTCAGGTGTGGTTTGTTTCTTGTCCGCTCTTCTGTGTCTTTTCTTCTAACTTGTTTTTAGTCTTCTGTGTTTGTTTATAGTGGTACAGTTGATTCTATGATCTTTTGAAGAACCTTGTAGAATGGACTACTGGTAATTATCCGCCATAGTTTAATTTAAAATGCATTGTATACCTTTTAAAATATGCTGGATATAACTAAGTTGTACATAACTCTTATACGTTGAAAATCAGGTTCCTGGGAAATGCTGGAGTTTGAAATTGATCTCTTCAACAGAAGGCATAGAACCTGTAGTTTAATTTTTAGTCCACTGTCTCACAATAAAAACAGCAAATAGTGTCTAGCAGGCATAAATATTAAAATAGCATATCGAAAATATGAATAAACTATACTTCCCATTATTTGTTCTTGATAAAATCATCTTTTTATTTCTCAATAGGAAAGTACTCTAACAATGAGAGTAAAAGGTATTCGGTTTAAACCTTGTTTACTTGGAAGCAAAGAACTGTGCTTCGCTTGGCGTGAATTTTCTGACTTTCTCAGAGTAACTTTAACTGCAGGATCCCCTGCTAAATTGCAGTTTGTGGATTGGCCAGAGTTAGAAAAGGTAAGTTGAACAGTTTTTTGTTTGGAAAAAAAACAACAGGGTCACTAGTCAGCAGGTCTTTTATTTCCAGAGCACAGGATTCAAAGCTGAAAACCCTGATTTCTTAGTATTGATGCTTCTAAAAATTCTCAGAATATGACAACTCTAGAGACGTTTTTCTATTCTATACAGGATAGTATAACAAGCAAAATTAAGTAAGTATTTTGTAATCTAATTATATATACATTTTTAAATGGGACTGTAGGTGTGAAGCTTTTTTCATACAATAGCTAACAATATTAGTTCCTTAAAAAGTAAACTCCTCTTGGAGTAATCTAACTCGTGTGTGTTTACAACACTGTATTCCTTAATATCTCTTAAACTGTTCTGTCCCATTTGCCCTTCTACAGATGTATTTTTGTTTTCTTTGGTGCAGCAATTTTACTGACTGTGGTCTGTATCCTAACATCCACCTTCCACTGCTGTTTGCCAAAGATACTGTCCTTAATGGTAGTAACAGTTGGCAGAAAATTTCTCCTTTATCTGTTACTGTGGGGTTTTGATGTTTAGGATGTAGGAAGGTAGTCCCAAATTTACTTAAGGTTACAAGTGCTTACAGCCAGGAAGTGGGAGAGTACAGTACTTATATCAAATGAAAAAGATGGGAGATTTTTTGGTACCATCTGTTTATTTGCTGGGTTTTTTTTTTGTTTTTCAATGTTTACTTTGGCTATTCAAGTGGTAGTGCTGAAGTTGCAGCAGAAAGCGAAACAGGAGAGTGGAAGCAGGTAAAACAAAACTGGATCTCTGAGCAGAGAACAGGAATAAATACTAGCGTGTTGGGAAAATGGAGAAAGTAGCTATTGAAGAAAAAAAGTGAAGCAGAATGTTCAGGGAGTATCATAACTATTTTTACTATCTAGAAAGCTGTCAAGGTATATCAGAAGATAAAGTTCTAGGCCATTTGTTCTTTCTACAACAAGGAATCTGATTGATAAGCCTCTTCAGAAGCATGTCCTTCCTTTTGGTCACATCAACAAGAGTAACACATGCAATTAAGTAGTGCATTTTTATAATGACAAGAGAATGTAAATGGGAAAACTCTGGAAGTACCTTCCCAGAGTTTTACAGTTCTGTCATAGTATAGCTGTTACAGGAGACAAATAGTATGGAAAAGGCAGACAGTATTGCTCTGGGGATTCCTGACCCGCTACGAATATCTGATATATGTAGAACAGAACAGTATAATGCTAATAGTATATCTATTCCAGCCTGTTGCTGTGATTAATGGTAGAGAATTGCAGAAGCCCCTTATTGTTCAACTGTGCGATCAGTGGGGAAATCCAACTCCTGAACCTAACGTCAAAATCAGCCTTACAAAGGATAACAACTTGAAGGTAAGCATAGGCATTATTATGTGAACTTTAATGCAAATTTCTGTTGTCATGCCTACATTAGCTTCTTCATTTTCAAGCCATTTTTGGAAAAGTGAATAAAATTTTATAAGGGCACAGAAGAATAATTAATCTCATATAATAATGTCAGTGAGTAATGTAAACAGTTCCCAGGAGAGATTGCTCAGCTCTCTTTCATTATAACAATCACAAATATAATTAAATTCCTACAGTTTTTGCTGAACCTTTTTCCAAATTCTGTATGCATACCACCCCCCACACACACACTTTATCTGAGGTAATATACTGAAAAATAATAATAATGATCATATGATCCAAATGGCAGCCACATCATTTTTATCTGGTGGTTCTTTGATTGTGGTTCCTGAATGTGTATGACTTATGGTCTGTATGTAAAACTAGTCACAGGGTTTGCTCCCTACTTCAGTATCCCTGTGAAAAGTATTGGCAGTATAAATCAAATTAAAATGAGGATGCAAATCTAACCCAAATTAAGTGGTTTCTGTCCTTTCCATGAGTGAGGCATGAGCATCGGATGGTCTGCACATTGGTCTGTGTGAAGAAAGGAGTTTGACAGAATACTCAATTCATTAAAGTTTTGGCTTTTGTTACTGGGGAAGAAAAAAGTCAAACTGTCATATGTTCCTAATTGTTGATGCAGAGACTTCTTATATTGAATGTGTGCATTATCAATACAGGATATATTTGTCCACCTCTGGACATGACTATTTTTCATGCAGGGCTGGTCTTGTTCCCTTGTTGTTCATGTTTGCCATGCATTTGTGTCCCTCATTTCTCTCAGAACACACAGCAGCCAAGAACTTTATTTTGCTCACCCCTCAAGAACTGTGCCACAGCCTCACCTTTCCCCCAGTTTAACTATATTACTATTACTTATTTTTATTGGGGTTTTGTTTGGGTTTGGGTTTTTTTGTTGGGGTTTTGGGGGGATTTTTTCTTTTTAGGAAATTTATTTACATCTTGAACATTTTTCTTCTGGTTCTTTTGAATCTCTTGCCATAAAAGCCTGCCTCATAGTTTGGGATTATTTTGTTTGTTTGTTTGCCCCAGCTACTGCCTTTACGGTGGCAGCTGCAGCTCCTCGGGGCTTCTAGTTATTTTGGTTCTGAGGGAACATACAACCTTGACAGTTACACTGTGTGGTTGTGCTGCCTGATCAAAATGATGTTGTGGTGGCATCCTGTGTCTTTTCAGATATTATGCCTTCCTCCAGGAGGACCAGCAGCATGTCTTAGATAGTCTGCATGCTCTATCCAAGTGGGATATGTCCAGTGTTCTGAAAGCCAAAGTGGATCATTGTTACCATGTGTTTATTACAGTGCTCTCTTCCAGAGCTTAACACCGTATAATTTTTAAGAGTTACTTTCATGCATTAGCAGAGCAACCAGCTGCTATTTGCTGAACAAACATCTGATCAGTATTCATGAGCATCTTGGAGAACCTCTTTAGAGAACTGTCTTGCCTTGGCATTTCAAATAGGTTGTATGCACAGTCTCCCAAAGGAAATGTGAAGCTTTGGGAACTGAAATTGTCAGATAAGCTGTCTGTCTGTATTTCACATCCCGTCCTTTGTCTCCTAAGCCTGATATGCTGCAGTTGCAGCATGCATTTCCCGCACTCCCATCTTACAGGTCCAAAACTGTATGCGTATGGCTGAACAGAAACATTCTGAATTCAGGTGCAGCTCAATACTGGAAATGCACAAAGCACTGTTTTCTGAAAAAAACAAAACTTTCCATTCTCCGATGTGCAGTAATTTCAAATACGGACTTACTTTTTGAGCGGAATATACTCTTCAGAAGAGCTTATGAAGTGTCTGGTAACTTTCTTAGTATTTCTTAGTATATCTTTACAATGCTGCCTTCCATTTGAACCATTAAGCACATTTTTGCCATTGCCTTTCTCTAGTAACATGGCAGGATAAATTCATGCTCCCACAGCTGATCCATTATGAATCAACTTTCACAATTTTTTTTTTCTTAATGTGATTTCTTTTAACTTACTGACATGAGATATAGGAAAGAAAATAATTCTGGAAGAAGATTGCCTACTTCAGGTATTCCAAAAACATTGGTTTTGTTTATGTAGACACTAGACACTTAGTCTCCTGAAATTTGTGCTGAAGTAGCAAAGGGAAAGCAATTTAATGCCAGACACTATTCAGATAATGACAGACATTTCCACCACATTGTTGCAGTATATCATCGGTGAAAGAATTGATTTTCCTTGTTAGAGAGGAATTCATTACAGAAGAACTCAGCATGTATCCGTGGCTGCCTTTGCTGCCCTCCAAACTTTAAAGCTACTATCTGAAGTTCTTTTGATACATTGGCAAGGTATTTCTTAGGTAAGCCTAAGGTAGCATGCACACACATTTGCAGAAAAAACAGCTTCTGCTTACTTTAAGAGTGTAATAGTATTCTTTAAGATTTATACCAGTTTCTGCAAGGGGATAGGCATTCTCTATCCGCTGCACTGGAGTCCATAGTTTCAAAAAGTTGTGGTTGATGAGGAAAGTGAAGTGGTAGCTTCTCTGCTATTTAATGTGTAAAGGCAAGTATGACTTAATGGTACTGCCAATCATAAGACTTCACTTTCAGTGCCAGGGAAGTAAGTGTGGCAAAGACAGGGTGCATGTAGAAAACACACCTTGCAAAACACCGGTGAGTTAAAAGGGAGCTATTTTCTAACAGTGAGATTCGGCAAGAATTCCCTTTAAGTCAATAGCAGAATTTATATTGACTTCAAAGGGGTTAGAATCAGACCTAATTAACATGCTAGATAAATAGGAGATGTATAAGGCATTTGTGGTGTTACCCTAAAACAACACGGACAAGAAATTATCATTATTAGTGTTTGATTAAATGCCATTTCTTACAGTATAGACATTAGTTCTTGTTTGTCATTAAGTTTTGATAAATGAAGTGGTGTACTTCATCAGTTATCATAACACTTTTCTCTGGGTTGACTAGCAATCTTACATTTTTGGCAGTGGGACTAGAATGGGGGCAGGAGAAGAGAGACACAGATGTTTTAGTTGGTTTTACTCCAGTTGTTTAATTCTTTAATTTTTGCTACCTGGTAATCTCTGTGCAGACTGGAGAAACACTGTAAAAGGGAATAAATAGTTTGTAGAAGGTTGCAGAATCTGAAAATATACTCAGATTAACATGTGCTATGGATGACATAGCATCTGTAGCAATTAAAGAAATAACACTAACAAAATATTTGAACATACAAATTAACAAAAATATCCTAGTTCTGATAAAGTGATTGTCTTC